CAGGCTAAGCAGCTGGATGAGTGCTGTGTGCGTGTGCGTGTGTGTGCATGTGCATGTGTGTGCATGAGACTCAGCTCACTTGCTCCCTGCTGCTTCCTTTGCCGGGTGAGGCTCCATGGGTTCTCACTGTGATTTTTTTTAAAAGATTTATTTATTTATTTATTTGAAAGTCAGAGTTACACAGAGACAGAGAGAGAGAGAGAGAGAGAGAGAGAGAGAGAGATCTTCCATCCCATGGTTCACTCCCCAATTGGCCGCAACAGTCAGAGCTGTGCTGATCTGAAGCCAGGAGCCAGGAGCTTCCTCTGGGTCTCCCACACAGGTGCAGGGGCCCAAGGACTTGGGCCATCTTCTACTGCTTTCCCAGGCCGTAGCAGAGAGCTGGATCGGAAGAGGAGCAGCCGGGACTAGAACCGGCGCCCACATGGAATGCCGGCGCTTCAGGCCAGGGCGTTAATCCGCTGCGCCACAGTGCTGCCCTGTGATTTAATCTTGGGCTGCCGGGGGACCACGGGCTGCGTGGAGCAGCTTTCCCCGAGCTTCTCAGCTGCCCAGTCTTGTGTCCCACCTACTGATGCTGCTGTCGGCAGGAGGTGGCCAGAGAACCACTTCCATCCCCACAGACATTCCCCCGGACCCCTTTGCAGGTGGCTCCCAGCTCCAAGCCCTCCCCTTTGGCAACCACTGGCAATCACTGGTCTGTTCTCCGTGGCTGTATTTTGCCTTTTCCCGAATGCCACAGAAGTATGTAGCCTGTTTCGTCCACAGCTTTCACACTGCTTAATGCACTTGATTTCCTGCCGTGCTACTGAGCGGCTCCATTCGCTCACTGCTGCTTCTGTATTGTTTGTGCCCACACAGTCTGCTTATTCAGTCATTAGTTGATGGGCTTTGGGTTGGTTCTGGTTTTAGCGATTACAGAGTGTCTAGGAACACTCACTTTGTGTGCACATGTGTTTTATTTCTCTTGAGTAAATACTGAAGACAGCTGTTGAATTGTGACATAAATGTAAATTAAACTATTTTTAAAAATGGGCAAACTCTTTTCCAAAGTGTTCATACAGTCGTTCATTCCCACGAGCAATGTGCCAGCTTCCCTCTGACATGGTACTACCCGTCTTTTAATTTTAGCCATCTGACAGCTATGCGGTGGTATCCCACTGTGGTTTTAGTGACCAAAGATGCTGAATATTATCTTTCTGAATGCTTCTTTGCCATTCTTGTATCTCCCTGGTGAATTATCTAGTCACACCTGTTGCCCAGTTATCTTAGTTGGGTTGCTTATCTTATTATTGAGTTGTAAACCTTTATATATTCTGGATACAAGTAATTTATCATATATGTGTTTTGCAAACATTTTATCCTAGTTTTTGGTTTGACTTTCCAATTTAGCAACTATATTTTAAAAAGAAAGTTGAGGGGCTGGCACTGCGGCACAGTGGGTTAACGCCCTGGCCTGAAGTGCCAGCATCCCATATGGGTGCAGGTTCTAGTCCCAGCTGCTCCACTTCCAATCCAGCTCTCTGCTATGGCCTGGGAAAGCAGTGGAAAATGGCCCAAGTCCTTGGGCCCCTGCACCTGTGTGGGAGACCTGGAAGAAGCTCCTGGCTCCTGGCTTCGGATCTGTGCAGCTCCGGCCATTGTGGCCAATTGGGGAATGAACCATCGGATGGAAGACCTCTCTCTTTCTTTCTCTCTCTCTGTCTCTGTGTAACGCTGACTTTCAAATAAATAAATAAATCTTTTAAAAAAATAAAATAAAAAGTTTAAAAAATGTTTTATGAAATCCAATTTAACTTTATATGCTTAAGATTTGTGTTGTTGGCATCTTACTTAAAAAATTGCTGCCTACCCCAAGACCACCAAGATTTTCTACTTATTTGTTCCAGAAGCTTAATAGCATAGCGCTTACATTGAGGTCTATGACCTATTTTGAACTAATCTTCATATATGGATCAAGGGAGTGATTAGGCTGCTACTTATTTCTCTCCCTCCTTCTTTCCTTCTTCCTCCTCCTCCTCCTCTTCCTCTTCCTCTTCTCCTTCCTCTTCTTCCTCTTCTCTGCAGGTGGAAGTCCATTTTCTCCAGAACCATTTGTTTACAAAGAGGACCTTATTCTTTTTAACAACTGTATAATATTCCATCGAGTGGCTGTCCCATGATTTAGTCCACCAATGTCACATCTGTGCACAATCAGGCTGTTTCCAACCTGAGGCAGTCACGTGCGTCCTCACACCTGAACCAGTCACTGGTTAGTTGGATGAGTACGTGTGTGGAACTTCTGGGTCAGGTGATGCATGCATTGTAAATCGACGGGGCAGTGGATTGTTCTCCAGTGTCCATGTTTCCATACAAGCTCTGGGAGAGAAGGCTGACTCTGGTTGGCTTTATTGGTGTGAGTCTTTCTCAAACCTTAAATAGTTTCCTTCTGGGCAAATCTAACATTTTTGTGATTTGATGCTGGAAAAAAGAGCCCTTCCAGGAGGGTTTGAAGAAAGAAGCATATTTCTACCTTGCTCAGTTAGGGTAAGCTCGTAAGAAGCAGGCTTATAAAATACACGAGGAAATGGAAATTCACTGACGTTGTTTAAGAAAGGGTCATTCAGCTCATGGTTCTCATGGCTGGGAAGTTCAAGACCGGGTGGCAAGGACCATGCCGAGTCCCAAGGCAGCACAGGGAAGCCCGCAGGGAGACAGAGCCAGCTTGGTCCCACGGGTCTTTCTCTCTCTTTTTACAAAGCCACGGGAACCCAGCCCTTGTGACCTCATCTTCTCCCTCCCTCTCTCACTGTCCTCACCAAAGCCCTTCCCTGGAGCCAGGCTCAGGCCAGCGCAGTGTGTGTGAAGGTACTGAGGGATGCTGGGAAGAAGGGAGATGTGAGGAACAGAGTCATGTCCCCTTTCTTGCATTCTTTTCTCTGAATCCACTCCACTGGTGTGACTGACCCATTACTGTATATTGTTGAGGGGCTACTAGGTGCCAAGAGCTGTCCTGAGGGCCTCGAAGATTCGAAGAGCTATGGACTGCCCCCCCCCCATCTTTAGGGATGTCAGCACAAGCTAAATAGCAACACGGGGATGTTTAGAAGCAATCCCAAAACAGGCACAGCAGATGTCACAGGTGGCACATATTGACAGAGTTTGTGCCAAGTGCGTGGGCAGTGGTGGGCTTTGCAGAGGAAGGATCCGAGCTAGGTGGTGCAAGTTCAGATTTTGACACCCAGTGACCCTTCCTCTGGGGTAGATTGCACCTTCTCCAAGCCACCCAAAGCTCCCTGTAGGGGCTGCAGGCTCCAGGAGTTAACAGAAGCAAGCCTGAACGTCCTGGCTGGGTTCAGCCCACAACCACAGCTCCCTGGGTTAGACGCTTGGAGAGCAGCTCAAGGGGGCAGCCCTCTTCAATTGTCCTGCATATTTTGAACATGGCCTTGGGTGTATTATTCATGCTTATTAAAAAAGCAACTCCGTATCATTTGTCTGTTGCTGCCTAATGACCAAACACTTACAGGCATCAAACAGGAGCCGTGTTATTTGCTCATGAGTCCGCCACTGCTCCCCCGTGCCTGCCATCACCTCAAGTGGCCAGTGAGACTGGGGCGGCTTCTTCCATTCCCCAAGGCCTCCGCAATGGTGCAGACTCGTTTGCATGGTTTCCAAGGGAAAGCAGAAGCAGGAGCTGCCATGCCTCTTAAAACCCAGGCCTAGAAATGCCATAACATCCTGGGCCACGTCCTATTGGTCCGAGCAAGCCACATGGCCAGCCCAGATCTGCAGGATGGGAGACAGAGCCACCTTCTGGATGGGAGAGTGACGTGCATGCTGGGGGTAGGGGGTGGGCACCACAGACAACTTCTAATTCATGTATGAGTCATCCCATATTCAACCTTCCTAACAACCCTCGAAAGTGGTCTCATTTATGAATGAGAAGACGGGGGCTCAGAGAGGCCAACTGGTCCACCATCATTCAGGGTCAGTGCTTTGCCTCTCCCCGCCCCACTTGGCCCGAGAGTGAGGGTCAGTGCTTGTCCTCAGAGACACCTGCCCCAGCCTCCAGCAACCTCCAGGCCATTTCTGAATCAACTCCAATGAAGTGCTGGGAGTATGTTGTGTGAGTTAAGGCCGAATGAACAACTCTGTGGCTCGCTGGTTTAATCATTCCAGTATCTGCGCATCTCTGTCGCAGGACGTGTGGACTCACGAGAGGTATCGATGAGAGGATGCAGTCATTTCTAGTTGAAGAATTTTGTCTAGCCAAAGGTCACATCGCTGATGCAGTTTCTACAGATAGGAGGGTGTTTCCTAAAGTCTGTGGAAAACGGAATTAAAAGAGTTTATTTTCGCACGAAAAGAATTTGAAACCCAAGCATCATTTTTTTTTTTTTTTTACAACACATTTTTTCCGTGAGCATGTTGAGGAATCCTTGATTAGCTTGCTACATAACTGTCTCCTTCCTGTCCGTTGACTGTTCTCATGGACATGACTTTGTGTGGCATTTCTGAAGAGAGAGAGACGCTCTTTCAGAAAGACCTCCCTCCTCTCCCTGGACAATGCAAGCAAAAGCATCCAGGTCAACTTGAGGGTTGTCGTCCGGTGGGTGAAATGTCACCGGCTGACAGCAGAGGGGCTTCCCTCCTGGACACCGGGACACTGTGGTTGAAACCAGGACCTGGGTCCCAGGCACCGCAGGACCCCGAGCTCCCAGCAGGTGGATGTGGCTCATGAACAGGACCCCTCCCCAGCGCTTGCCAGCAGCAGCCCACTGACCGGGCTGCCTCTTCCTCCCCTCTCCAAGGGCACTGACCTCAGCCTCCAAAAAAGAAAAATCTGACAGCTTAATTTTAATGTGGGCATTTGATCCAGGGCTTGAGATAAATATAACCCTGTGTAGTACGGGAGAAGGTCTAATGGGAAATGGTTGGCATTCTTTCTGGGTAGAGGCAGGGGGAAGGGGGGGGAGGGGGGAGGAGGGAGGGAAGGGGAGAGGGAGGGAGAGGGAGAGAGGGAGAGGGAGAGAGAGCAGGCAGCAGTGAGGAAGCCAGAGCAGAGGTGAGCGGGCTCGCGGCAGCCTTGCCGGCTCCCAGCATGGTGGTCCTGAATCCAATGACTTTGGGAATTTATCTCCAGCTTTTCCTGCGCTCCATCGTGTCCCAGCCGGCGCTCATCAGCAGTGTCCTCCCCATCTCAGCAGGTCAGTGATCACCACCACCTTCCTGTCTTCTCTGTCGGGCCGGGGCCAGGGCAGGCAGAAGGGCTCCTGAGAGTTGTGGGGCTCTACTCCCGGCAGGGGGCTGGGGGAGGCTGGGAGTGGGCTGGCCATCCAGCTGCTTCCTGTCCCCCCGCTCGCCTCTAAAGCCCCTTCTGCTCTGTTCCCATGGACCCCTGCCCAGCTGCTACAAGCCATGGGCTCTTTAGAAATTGCTGCTACCTCTCCTCGCTTCCCATTCATCGCGCGCGTGATTACCTTTTGGTTGGAAATTTGCGGGAGCCCAAGAGACCTGCAAAGGAGAGAGATGCGAGTCCCGGGGGATTCCAGAAACACAAGCCTGACCTCCTCCTTTGCGGTGGCTTGGCCCAAAGGGGTGTCGTGGAGTCCACAGACCCTGCCAGAGCCGGGGTGCTGACCCCCGATGGGACAACCCACCCAAGGGAGGCCAGGGTTCCTGTGTTTGCTGTCTGGGGAGAAGCCTTCCCTCAGCCTCAGACAAGGCAGCTGGAGGTGCAGGGAGAAGCAGGTGTGTGTGTTGGGGGCAGCGGTTGCAGAGGGCGGAGTGCAGGCTGGACCTCTGGGAAGGGGTTGGTGGGCTAGCCTGGCCCCTGTCTTGCGGGACCCAGGGGCAGGGGCTGCACTGGGTTGCTGGTGCGGCCTCTTCAGACCTTTCTGAAGAAGTGCAAGTGTCTGGGGGAGGGGCAGTGGGGGAGGGGGCTTGTGACAGGCAGGCAGACCCGTGGTTTCTCTGCCCGCTGCCCCTCCAAGTCCCCTGAGCCACCCTCGGGGCGCTCCCCTGCAGAGGCAGAAGTTTCAACTAGGATGTGGTTCCCAGCCACTTGGTGAGGGCTTGTCTCCAAACCCAGTCCTCCACAAGGTCCATTCATAAAAAACAGCTCCTCCCTGGAGAGTTCTGTGTTCCCCGGCCCGAGGGCATGAGCTGGCCGCTGCGCTAATTATAAAGGTGCTGAGAGCTGAAGGAGGGAAGATGCCGGAGTATATGGGAGTGGGGAGAGGCCGGGAGTGTGCCAGGTGCCCCCTCCCATTCCTGGGGGCCCGGCAGGTCGTCATTCTCCTTGTCAAGGGGGAAGCTTGAATTCAGGGTCATGAATGTGGTTGTTCTTAATCTTGTTGGAGTCATGGATTTCTTGGAGAAGTTGCTGAAGGCTCAGGGAGTCGGGAAACTCGGGTTTCTGGTGGTAGCCCTGCCTCTGGTGGGCTCTGTGCCTTCTGGGAGACAGCCGGCAGTAGATTGTAAGCACCCTGCGGGCAGGGACTCTGTCCATCTCCTACACCATCACTGCTTCCCCTGGGGTCTGAACAAAGCCGAGGAGCAGGCGTGTGGTGCAGAGGTTAAGATGCTGCTTAGACTCTCACATCCCATAGTGGAATATGTGGCTTTGAGTTCCTGGCTCCTGGCTTTTGACCTGACCCAGTCCCTGGCAGTTGCAGGCACTGGGAGAGTGAACCAGAGAATGAAAGATCTCTCTGTTTCTGTCTCTCTGCCTTGAAAAAAAAAAAAAAAAAAAAAAAAAGCAAGCATGGGTGGGGCTGTGGCATAGAGAGTAAGGCCACCACCTGTGGTGCTGGCATCCCATATGAGTGCCGGTTTGAGTCCTGGCTGCTCCACTTCCGATCCAGCTCCCTGCTGTGGCCTGCGAAAGCAGTAGAAGATGGCCCAGGTCCTTGGGCCCCTGCACCTGCATGAGGGGCCGGGAGGAGGCTCCTGGCTCCTGGCTTCAGATTGGCCCAGCTCTGACTGTTGTGGCCGACTGGGGAGTGAACCAACGGGTGGAAGACTCTCTCTCTCTCTCTCTCTCTCTCTCTCTCTCTGCCTCTCACTCTCTGTAACTCTGCCTTTCAAATAAATAAATAAATCTTTTTTTTAAAAAAAAGGAAAAAGGAAAAAAATACAAGTGTCTGGCTTTAATAGGAGCTCAGTAAATGAATTAATGAAGAGAAACTTTGCTCATCTCTAGGTTGGGGCTTATCTTCATTTTGTATTACTTTATTTTTTAAAAAAGATATTTATTTATTTATTTATCTGAGAGAGGTAGAGTTACAGACAGTGAGAGTGAGAGACAGAGAGAAAGGTCTTTCTTCTGTTAGTTCACTCCCCAAATGGCTGCAACAGCCGAGCTGTGTTGATCTGAACCCAGGGGCCAGGAGTTTCTTCCTGGTCTCCCACACAGGTGCAGGGGGCCCAAGCACTTGGGCCATCTTCTACTGCTTTCCCAGGGCACAGCAGAGAGCTGGATTGGAAGAGGAGTGGCTGGGACTAGAACCGGAACCCACATGGGATGCCGGCACCTCAGGCAGAGGATTAACCTACTGCGCCATGTTGCCGGCCCCTGTATTACTTTATTAAATTTTAAAAAATTCATCTGAGGGGCCGGCGCCACCGTAACTCAATAGGCTAATCCTCCGCCTGCGGCGCCGGCACACCAGGTTCTAGTCCCGGTTGCTCCCCTTCCAGTACAGCTCTCTGCTATGGCCCGGGAGTGCAGTGGAGGATGGCCCAAGTCCTTGGTCCCTGCACCCACATGGGAGACCAGGAGAAGCACCTGGCTCCTGGCTTCGGATCAGCGCGGTGCGCCGGCCGCAGCGGCCATTGGGGGGTGAACCAAAAGCAAAGGAAGACCTTTCTCTGTCTCTCTCTCTCACTGTCCACTCTGCCTGTCAAAAAAAGAAATCATCTGAGGGGCCAGCTATGTGGCATAGTGGGTTGAGTTCTGCCTGCAGCACTGGCATCCCATATGTGTGCTGGTCGGAGTCCTGTCTGCACCACTTCCCATGCAGCTCCCTGCCAATGCGCCTGGGAAAGCAGCAGTGTTTGGGTCCCTGCCACTTGGAGGCCTGGAAGAAGCTTCTGGTTCCTGGCTTTGACCTGGCCCAGCCCTGGCTGTTGTAGCCATTTGAGGAGTGGGCCAGCCAATGGAAGACCCCTCTCTCTGTCTCTGTTTTATATATATAAAACTTTGCCTTTCAAAATAAATCTTTAAATTTTTTTTTTATTTGAAAGACAGAGAGAAAGATAGATACAGACTAGGCAAGGCCAGAGCTAGGGGCCTGGGACCTGGAACCCAATCCTGGCCTCCCACTGGGTGGTAGAGACCCAAGTGCTTGAGCCATCACCTGCTGCTTTCCAGGGTGCACACGAGCAGGAAGCTGGAATTGGAAGCAGAGCTGGGGCTCCATCCCAGGCACTCCAGTATGGGATTCAGGCATCTCAGGCAGTGCCTTAACCACTGTTCAAACACCCATCCTAGTATTACTGTATTTAGATAGACTCAAAGTGATTAACGAGTTCTGAAAGCTAGAAAGAGAAGATCCTCTCACTGTCTTCAAACTGCTTGCCCTGGAGTGCACACTGGCACAGCTTAGACATGTCTTAGGGTAAAAGCTTTTTTGCACATTGTGCCAGGCAGGACAATGCCAGGGAAGGAAAAGCAAGTTGGGGGTTCCGAAGACCCGAACACAGGGTTCATTTTCAGAGGGGTGGGAGGGGCTGAGGCCCCTGGAGACGGGCAGCTGCAGGAAGCCGTTCCCACGCTGTTTGCTCGGAAAGGACAAGAGGATGAAGCAGGGGAATGAATGCCAGGCAGGCTGGGCCCCTTGTAGGAGGGGCCGCCCAGCAGGACCACTGGTCATGGAGGGACCCAAAGCAGAGAAAAAGTGGAGAAGGCAGACTCTGACCTCTCTCTCCTCCCATCTGACACCTGCGCTCAACGCCACCCGTTGAAGCTGGGGTCAGCCTGTGGGGCACACGGGGTGGAGGGGATGGAGAGGAGCGGCCCTGACATCCGCAGACTACTTGATGAATTGCTGTCTCCAGATCTTCTGGCTGCAGATGGGGTCTTCAGACCTCCGGGGGACAGCAGGGTAGGCCCAGGGGACTCACGAAGGCAGCAGCAGTTCGACTTCCTCCTGGACGGTTGCTCGGCTCTGTCCCCCTGGTTCAGTCACCATGGCCTCATGGCAGCACTGTTGAGAACTTAGACCCTGCAAGGGAGCTGTTCCTTCAGCTGCCCCTTGAAATGGAACTCTACTCCTTTGAAAATATTCTCCACAATCTGGGCTGAAAGATTCCATATTCAGAAGCTTTTTTTTTTAAGATTTATTTATTGGCCGGCGCAGCGGCTCACTTGACTAATCCTCCGCCTGCAGCGCCGGCACTCAGGGTTCTAGTCCTGGTTTGGGTGCCAGATTCTGTCCCGGTTGTTCCTCTGCCAGGCTAGCTCTCTGCTGTGGCCTGGGAGTGCAGTGGAGGATGGCCCAGGCGCTTGGGCCCTGCACCCGCATGGGAGACCAGGAGAAGCTCCTGGCTCCTGGCTTTGGATTGGCACAGCGCGCCAGCCATAGCAGCCATTTGGGGGGTAAACCAACGGAAGGAAGACCTTTATCTCTGTCTCTTCTCTCACTGTCTAACTCTGCCTGTCAAAAAAAAAAAAAAAAAAAAACCAAGATTGATTTATTTATTTGAATGACAGAGTTACAGAGAGGCAGAGAGAGAGAGAGAGAGAGAGAGAGAGGTCTTCCATCTGATGGTTCACTCCCCAGATGGCTGCAATGGCCAGAGATGGGCTGATCTAAAGCCAAGAGCCAGGAGTTTCTTCTGGGTCTCCCACACAGGTGCAGGAACCCAAGGACTTGGGCCATTTTCCACTGCTTTCCCAGGCCGTAGCAGAGAGCTGGATCAGAAGTGGAGCAGCTGGGACTCAAACTGGCATGCATATAGGATGCTGGCTTTCTCCGCTACACCACCGCACCAACCTGGGGAAGCTTGTTGAATCTTCCTCTTCTAGGAAGACAAGCTGTATATACACAGAAGTCACAGCCATCAGGAAACTCTCTCACTCTGATCCCATCCCTCAGTGAGTCCTGCTGAGTGCCTGGCACTATGATGAGTACGTTGGGGACTCAGAGACAAGAAGGATGTGGCATCTGAGGTCTCTGCATTGGAACACGGGCAACCTATGCTA